TAAACAAGTTTGTTTGTTCAGTTTGGTCTGTCAGTAGTCAGTACCTATTATCTATTTATTTTTAAATAACTAGAAAAAAATGCATTCAATAGATACATGTATTAACGTTTAGAAAGATTGTCCGTCAAAACAAATAAAGTACCAGCTACAAAGTTCAAAGTGTGATTTACTTGTACTAACATATGCGGAACATTGGCCAAAGTGTCACTGTTAGCAAAAAAAACACTAAAATGTCATACTAACAATAAATTTTGTCAAAATGTCACGTGGCATATTTCGCTACACTGTGTAGCGAAATACGTGTGCAAATAATTCGCTACACGGTGTAACGAAATATGCCGCGTCAAAATGCACAGAACCAAAAATGCCACGTGTCAGACACTATGTAGCGAAATTCTCCCTGTTTGACACGTGGCATTTTTGGTTCTGACGTGGCATATTTCGCTACACTGTGTAGTGAATTATTTGCACACGTATTTCGTTACACAGTGTAACGAAATATACCACATGACATTTTGACAAAATTTACTATTGATGTGACATTTTTGTGTTTTTTTTTTTTTTTTCAAACAGTGACACTTTGGCCATTGTTCCAACATATGCCTTCCAGACTAAAGCCACCTAAACACCAAAACACAGGATCCTCGCTGTTCGGGCCGCGTTGCCACATTGTTTGGCTACAAGTCGAAGGAAAAAATCACAAGCTCTTTCGAAAACAGATATGTTGGCAGCAATCTGCATGGCTTGAGACACGTTGATACTCCCATTTAGGGGTGTGCATGGGTCGGGTCAGGTTTTTGTGCCGACTCGACCAAACTTGATTTTTATAGGTCAGTTATTTTAATCCGACCCGCTTTAATTTGATCCAAGTCAGGTCTGACTTGGTTTGAATTTTTTTGAAGTAGTTCAGAACCGGGTCAAATCTGACCTGATTTGGTTTCTGAAGTGGGTCTGACTTGATTTATGAAGTAGGTCTGACTTGGTTTCTGAAGTGGATCAAATTCGACCTGACCCGTTTTTGACTTGGTTTCAAAACATGTTTTTAATTTGATTTTTTTTATAGTTATTGATTTATTTTTTAAACTCATGAAATTTCTACGTTACAAATGATAAATATTTCGTAACAAAATCATTTTTTCGTCGGAATATTTTTTGTCGAAAAGCGACGAAATTTTTTCTCTAATGAAAATTTTTTCTATCGAAATTTTCGACGAAATTTAGTTTTCATCAAAAGTTTTGACGAAAGTGATTTCCTCCATCAAATGTTTTAAACGAAAAAAGAATTCCGTCAAAATTTTTGATAGAATGTTTTTCGTTCAAAATTTCGATGGGAATGTGTTCTGACGAAAATTGTTTTGAGAGAAATGTTTCATTTGAAATTTTCGACGAAATTCAGATTCTCTAAAGAATTTTGACAAAATATTTTTTTTGTCAAAATTTTTTATCGAAATATTTTTTGTCAATTTTTTTTACAGAAATGTGTTCCGTTAAAAATTTTGATGGAAATGTTTTTTTATCAAAAAACTTGACGAAAATAATTAGTCGAAAATTTTCGATGAAAATGTGTTTCGCTAAAAATTTCGCCGAAATTTTTTTTGTCAAAAAGTTTAACGAAAATATTTCTGTCGAAAACTTTCGCCTAAATTTGAATTCTGCAAAGATTTTTGATGAAATTTTTTTTTGTGAAATATTTTGACGAAATTTAGATTCCGTAAAAAAAAATTCGTCTATTTTTTTTACAGAAATTTTTTTCGTCACATATTTTGATTAAAATATTTTTTGTCAAAAATTTTAACGTAATTGTTTTACGTTAAAACTTTTCTTTTAACGTAATTGTAATTTTTTTATTTTTTTTTCACATAATGGGTGTGGGTCAATGGGTCATTATTAAAACAAGTCAGGTCTAAAACTGACCCAAATAAAAGTGGGTCAGTATTTAAACCCATTTTAAAAAAATAGGTATTTATGGATCAGGTCAAAGTCAAATCAAGGGCAGGGCAAATGAACTAATTTTTTTGCACACCCCTACTCCCACTGTTGATCGTATCAAGTGATGTTTCAACTTTTTATGGGTTTGCATTTTTGGTGGGTGTTTGAAGGTGACAAAGTGAAGGAAGAAGACGTGTGTGAGAAAAATAAAGAGGGCATAAGCCTTTTAGTTTGATATGGCAGAGGTATCGTGCTGATAACGTGTTGTAAAATTACTAAGAATTAGAAGAAGAACATAGATAAGAGAGACAGGGGAATATATTGTGGTTGTATTCTCACCCTACAATGATGCCTTATTTATAGCTCGGGAAACATGAAAGTTACAATAATTGAAATTATTCTCCAACGGTCATAATATCTCCAACATCCATAACGTCTCCAACAGCCATAATGTCTCAAACGACCATAACGTCTCCAACAATCATAACGGTTATATAACGGACATGGACAACCAATAAATTATTTATAACAATAGAGAAAAGTTATACTTACAACATTTTCTTTTTACCTCCTCTTACAACCATATCTTAACACCGTTGATTTCCGCCAATCAACGGTTACGATTTTCACAAATTAAACTCATTAATTAATTATTAATTCACAATAAATGATAACCGTTGATTGGCGGAAATCAACGGTGTTAAGATATGGTTGTAAGAGGTTGTAAAAAAAAGATTGTAAGTGTAACCTTCCTTATAACAATATATATATATATATATATATATATATATATATATGGGAAAAGTATTTCTACAGCCATTTTAGATAAGGTTGTCTACAGCTACCCTTTTTTCACTAAGTACGACCGGTCGTACTTAGTGATAACAATAAAGCTGTTCTTTTTTCTCTTTCCTCAGACATTGTCAGCTGACGTGGCGGAGAGAGAAAATGCAATTTTAATGTACGAGCGGTCGTATTTAGTGAAAAAAAAGGTAGCCGTAGAGAAACTTATCTAAAGTGGTTGCAAAAATATTTTCCCATATATATATATATATATATATATAGCAAGTATTTGATTGCTGCACGTACAGCAGCTGCAGAAATGTAAACCCCCCACACACATACATATATATATGGGAAAAATATTTCTGCAGCCACTTTAGATAAGGTTGTCTACAACTACCATTTTTAACTAAGTAGATAACTTTATCTAAAGTGGCTGTAGAAATATTTTTCCCTATATATATATATATATATATATATATATATGAAAGCATTAAATGCGAGAAAAACATTAAACATTAAAATGATTGCATATATATATATATGTAGGATCCTTTGACACCTCGTCTAAGAGCCTTTAGATCAAAAAAGATCAACGGCTCTTATTTGTAAGCATGTGACACCGTTGATCTTTTTTTATCTAAAGGCTCTCAAACGAGGTGTCAAAATTCAAATTTGACACCGGTGTCAAAGGATCCTACCTCATATATATATAGAGATAGGATCTTTTGACACCGGTGTCAAATCTTAAATTTGACACCTTATGTAAGAGCCGTTAGATCTAAAAAGATCAATGGTGTGACATGCTTACAAATCAGAGTCGTTGATTTTTTTTGATCTAACAGCTCTTACACGAGGTGTCAAATTTAAAATTTGACACTCGTGTCAAATGATGCTACCTCATATATATATATATATATATATATATATATATATATATATAATGAACAAAACTTGATAGACCAAAGGTGTAATGTAAGCAAAGCACCGCGAAGTGTGATTTCGTACTATAAAAAAAGGACTTGATGCCTTGAACACGCTTTTTATAAAAAAAAAAAAAAGAGGAGAGTCCGATTGCTTCGTGAGTGAATAGGGGTGACTTTAGCTAATGAATTGCTTCGTGAGTGAATAGGGGTGAGTTTAGGTAATGAATTGGTCTTTTGAGTTCTATAAACAAAAAAATTGAATAGGGGTGACTTTAGCTAATGAATTGCTTCGTGAGTGAATAGGGGTGAGTTTAGGTAATGAATTGGTCTTTTGAGTTCTATAAACAAAAAAAATGGCTCCACCGCTGGTCAAAGGATGAAGAATCAGTATTGTATCCTATTTCTGTGTCTTTTCTCTTCTTATTTTATCAATTTTATAACAGTGGAGACTTAATTGAAGCAAAAGTTTATCAATTACAATTCTTACCCATATGACTTTAATTTGAATTTCGAAAGGATAACTGGAATTTGAATTCTGAAAAGTATTGATATTTATTCTTTCGTTTATAATTATTTAATATTAGATTAATTCTTATTCAATGTTGTAATCTTTTTTTCTTTTTCTTTTTTGTAAACTTCAATGTTGTAATCTTATATACCATATTATCGTGTTAATGAAGTAAGATTTTTTTATTGACACCCATTTCTTGGTCTTCTCCTTAATTAATGAAATAAAAAATTTTCTAGGCACATTAGCTTACTCTTCTCCTTGATTTTGTTCCCAATTTTTTTCTTGATTTTTATTTTTATTTTTTATCTGGTACTTGTTACTTGATAACAATTTCGGAATTTTAAATAAAACACCTAGAACGCTGGTGCTGGTCAATATTCGCGGTAACAAACAAAGTACATCGTGGCGGCGGAGCAAATCTTTTGTACTGACATCTTTTCTAAAAAAGATAAATATAAAAATATTTGTATTTAAATGTAATCAAAAATTTTAAATTTGAACGGAATTTGGTACATCAAATTTTAGTGGCAGCGGTCTAGTTATTTCGCTAAAGAGAAAAATTTTATTGCATGGTGGCACTTAACTGCTTCTTTTTATTATACTTTAATCTAAAATGATCATCTTTTCAAATTATACACACTCTTCCATTTAATAAAATAGAACATTGAATTATGTACAAAAAAAAATTAAAAAAAATAGAACATTGAATTCGGTGCTCACGATTCATTAAAATTTTTTCTCTTCGCTGACGGGTCCACGTCATATCCGAGTCATATACTAATTTTTATTTTTTAATTAAATTAAATTTATAAGTTCTCCCTTTTTTCTAGACACGAAAGCTAAAAGCTCTTCATCTATCCAAGTTACGGTCTCAGCACTCTGCTCTGCCCACAAAACCAACCTGATTGAGATTTTCCCGAGAAACTTACGTTTTCCGGTAAAATCCATCTCTCCCCAAATCCTCGATCTTAATCTCTTTGGCTTTCCACGTGTTCTTCGGTTGAAGTTCGCATCATGCAAAGAACCCGAGCTAGATATTTTTAATCTCATTGACTTACTTCCATTCTGTATTTTTTGTTTTTCTGGTTTCAGATTTTAGGTCGCGAAACTCGAGGAGTTCATTCATGGCGCCTCCAATTCTCTCCTTAGTTCTTCCCTCCGAGACCGGTCGAATACTCAGCATTCAATCTCACACAGTCCAGGTGTTTCTCCTTTTCATTTGATATTTTTGTGAATAAGTAACTCTCCGAAAAGATCAACCTATAGCCTATTAGATGAAGACACGTGATAGTTTTTATATCGTATTATATCTCTAATAAATCTATATTATGTCTAACACACCTTACTTCTTGTACAATGACCCTTTTGGTTTTGAAGCATAGATAATGCATAGCTACACGGAGTTTGTCCTGAAATTTAACTTTTTATTAGAAGAATAGAATTTCAGCACAAGATAGGTGACCTATGCATTGTCCTTCTTTAATTCTCAGGGGGCTCTTTGTGTGTCTCTACCTACTAGCCTAAATTTTTGGGAGATTTGGTTTGTGACAAATTTTTAGTGCGCAAATTACTCAGATTGATTCCACAGCTTCCTTGAGAAAAATAGAATTATTCTCTGTTGCCATAATCGTGAATATCATCATCAGTTTTGTATGCAGTGAAGCTGGTTTTTGTTTGGTGATTACCTTGACATTGTATTCGTTTGCTGTTATTCTCAGGGTTATGTTGGAAATAAATCAGCTGTCTTCCCACTGCAACTTTTGGGCTATGACGTGGATCCAATTAATTCTGTGCAGTTTTCAAATCACACAGGCAAGCTGCTTCTATCTCTTCATTCAACTCTCAGGGCTCAGAGGCCTGATACTGATTCATGGTGCGATGTCATCTGGAATGGTTTCCTTGTTTGCATAACAGCGAAATTTTTGTTTGATATATTTGAGGACTATGCAGGGTACCCAACTTTCAAGGGTCATGTTTTGAACGGACAGCAACTCTGGGATCTAATGGAAGGCCTTGAAGCTAATGATTTGTTGTACTACACTCACTTATTAACGGGTATGTGATTTGTCAGTATAATTTAATTGTGCACTGTATCGCACTTCCCTCATGAAATGAAATTGTATTTTTAATTTTTTTTTTTTTTTGTGACAGCCGTAGATTAATTGTATAACTTTTAAAAGTATTTCTATGTATCATTGTTTTGACTTTTGATCTATCCCTTGACTATATTTGCTTTAGTATTTGAAGCTCTGATCATATGTTATGTGTTATACTTTTATGGACTATTGTGATATTGTCACTAAACTGCCAATTTTTTAGTTTTGAATTTGTTTCATGTTTTGATTACTCTGACTTTGGATCTAACTCGTATTTTCAGGCTATATTGGTTCAGTTTCTTTTCTCAACACTGTATTGGAGGTTGTCAGCAAGCTTCGCTCAATAAACCCTGAACTTACGTATGGTGAGTGAGACCACTGAAAATGCTTTAGTTTAGGGGTGTTCATGGGTTGGTTTTGTTCTATTTGAGACACATCCTTGATCTAAGTTAGAACTTTTTAATGAAAAGTTTGAACATTTAAGAAACAAAAATTGAACCAAGATAAATCATAGAATTGCATGAACCTAATCAGAAGTTCAGTTTCAACCCTCATTTTTCATTTTTATTTTTATTGTCAGGGGTTGACTGGGCAACATGATTTCAATTTCATACTTTTTTTTTGTTGGGTGTCGAACTTCAATCTTTATAGAACTTATTCTTTATCTTGTAATTTATATAGAAGAATTACCTATACATGTGTCTGCATTTTGTTTCCTTGTCAGTATGTGATCCAGTGATGGGTGATGAAGGAAAGCTTTATGTTCCACAAGAGCTGGTGGTAGTGTATCGTGAGAGGGTAAGACTGATCCACGAATATGTTTCTGCAAGCGTGCTTGTTTAAATAGTATACACAATATAAAAAGTTAAAAATGTATGAACTTCTCTTGCTAAAGTATCAAACGCCTCCATTTTATGTCTCCAATAACTGAAAATTAGATTTTAATGTATGGTCATTGCTTTCCTAATTATGAGATGATGCAAGAATACTTTCCTTTCATATAGCCCATTTTACTGTTAAAAGTTCATTACTTCTTTTGTCATCTCAGTAACAAGCATTTCGGCAGGTTGTTCCAGTAGCTTCAATGTTGACTCCCAACCAGTTTGAAGCAGAACTACTGACCGGATTCAGGTAATTATAATACAATGAAGATTACTTGAAGTTTTTCTGTTTAGAAAATCGCTACTGTCTGCTTCCACATTTCCAGCTAAATTGGGATGAACGCGCGCGCGCACATATATATATATATATATGAAAACTTGGATGTTGTAAATGAATAGCATGCGCTGTCTGTTATATACATTTCTTATCTTTCACACAGTATAGCTGGCAGCATTTTACTTTTTGTTTTCTTGTACATAAATTAAGTTCTGTACTAAGTTGCATGTAAAAAAGATTAATTTTTTAGAGATTGTTATGAATTTACCAAAAAGATAAGGATAAAAGACATTATTTGGCGTACATGCACTCTGTTTATATCTTGTGAGTTTTTTTTTTTGTTTTTTCCCCTCTTTGGGGGATGGGGGAAGAGGGGGCTTATTAGTATTAAGGGGTCCCTTCTCGTGCGCATAGATATATTTGTGTATCTCTGCATGCGCTTGTTTGAGGTTTGGACACTGCCCACATTGAGGGAATGGTTTGTGCACTCTGCAATTATGTCTGTGGGCATTTGTTGGTGATGCACTTATCATTATGGAACTAATTGGGTTTAGAGCTAACGTTCCACCCACAAATTATCCTTATATTTAGAAGTTAGCTAGTGATTGAAATATTATTTTCAGCATATAAAATACAACAAATTGGGTTTAGAAGGTATTTTGTGTTTTTATTTTTATTTTTTCCCTATCACTGCTGGGATTATCAGATTTTTGTCTATTTATTCTGTTTGTTGCATTTCCACAATATGACTGTTTTGCGCTCTAAAATATTCATACTAATAATAGGATTCAGTCTGAAGGAGATGGTCGGGAAGCTTGTAACTTCCTTCATGCAGCTGGACCATCAAAGGTTTCCTTTTAATCTTCTATGTTGGAAAATTCCTTTTTCTCCCCTCCCCACCGTCTCTTTTGTAAATGCTTTTTTGTCCTTTGGACATAGACTTCTTGTATTGGACATTGTTCCTGACTGTTGAAACTGTTTATTTGTTTAGTTCTAATATTTTCACTGACATCTATTGTGATGAATTAGTCACAGATGTTTCATGCTTTTGCTAGTTTTGCGAATTGACTACTCAATTAAATTTTTAAACCTTGTGCTCAGAAATTATGAACAGATAGTAAATATTCACTAATTGAATCCTCTTTCAGGTGCACTTTAATGATTCAAATGGGACCCCATTTTATGCCGTGGGAAATACTGATATTAGTGTCCATCAAAAAGAATAATTGAAACTGCTGTTATAATCTTTATGACTGAAATATACAGCAGTGCTGCAGTTATACAAATTTCAACCATATAGTTATGTTGAAAGTTGAAACTCAATCACTTGAGCATGTCTTCCACTAGGGGTGGCAATATGGGTTGAGTCCGACGGGTCAACCCGCCAACTCGTCAAAACGGGTCGGGTTGGGTTGAGGTTTTCAACTCACCAACCCATCTCAACCCGCCCCGCCTAGAAGTGGGTCAAAACGGGTTCAACCCGCCGCGGGGCGGGTTGACCCGTCGGATTATAATTTTTTTCTTTTTTTCTTTTACAATTAGGTAGTATTTCATTACTCCTTAAAATTTTGTGATATCCAATTTTATTTTTATCTTAGTACTTCCTAGAAAAAATAAAGAATAACAATTTTATTTATGACAAATGTTATCTATATATAAATTCCTAAAGAATGTTTGACAAATATTAGTATACATTTAAGATTGAGACTAAAAAAAATATAGAGAAGTATGAAATAAAATAAAATAATATTAGAAAAATTCATAAAATATAATTTATTTTTGAATTTTAATTAATTTTTTTTAATTGGCGGGTTGGTGGGTTGACCCGCCAACCCACCATAAAACGGGGTGGGTTCATTTTTTCAACTCATATTTTTTGGCGGGTTGGTGGCGGGGCGGGGCGGGTCAACCCAAATTGCCACCCTTATCTTCCACCATGTACATTCTTTCGCTGAATGGTAAAACGTGGTGTGCAAGTAATTCTGAGCTTTCTGGATTGCAGACTGTCGAGATATATAAAACCATTAATGTAGCCTCACCCAAAAGCTTAAGCTTTTGGGTTGAATTGGTTCTTTACATGGTATCAAAGCCCCGTCGCCCCCCACTTTCTTTCAAGTGGAATTTCTTTGTTCGCACAGGTAGGTGGGCCTGTGCATTTTTCATCCTTCAAGTCCAGTGGGCTCTCGTGTGAGGGGGCGTGTCGAGATATATAAAACCATTAATGTAGCCTCACCTAAAAGTTTAACCTTTTAGGTTGAATTGGTTGTTTACATAGACTCTTAACAATTTTTTGAACTCAAGTGTTGTATCGTGTTTTTAACTATGATTTGAACCATTGTGTCTCTTATTTTGCTTGCATTTTTTCTAAGTCACCTATTTGATTATTTAGATAATAAAGCTCTGCTAGATTCTTGGTTCCATGATAATTGTGAGATTGAACTTCGTACAACATATATGTGGGAGTTAGCAATGGCCTAAAGTGGTCCACTCTAATGTGCAAGCACCTGTAGGTGCACACTCACACAAAAACACGTTAGCTTGAATCTGAACTGTCCATGTGGCAAGAGGAGCTGACCCATCTCTGTATCTTCACATATTCTAGTTTCTCAGTTTCTTTCCTTTGTTTTTTCCTATGCCAAGAAATTATCTAAACCTAATGTGTAAACGCACAATGAACTTGTCTATAATTATTAATGATTGCTTATGTTTTGTTTATCTCAATTATTTTGCTTATGTATATGCACCCGCAGGTTGTAATTACAAGTATAAATATAGATGGGAATCTTCTTCTCATTGGCAGCTATCAAAAGGAAAAGGTAGGTTAAATGTCACCTAAAATGTTGTTAAATTTATAATTTCAGATATATGAATAATAGTGTATATCAATATTGTTAAATTTTCATAATTAACTTACTAGTATGTCTGCTTGTCCCTCGAGTCTTGACAGTGATTTGCAAAACTTTTGATTTCTGCAATTTCAACTTCTGAAAACCAAAAGGACCGGCATGGTCAGTTTTACCCAAAAAACTGGTGTACCAGCCAGTTATCCGTGTATGATAGCCGGAGAAGCTGAGAATTAAGATAAACTAGACTGAACCAGTCTCGTTTACCCTGATATTGTCGCACTATGTGGACGAACCACATGATCGCCACTCTGCATTAAGGTAAAAGCCAGGTGGAGTTGGATCAAATGAACTCACCTAGGGAGTTTGGCGAGCGCCATACCAGCGTGCTACTTTATTTTTTGTTGTATGGGATATAGTATGTTTATTATACTCTTGGTAATACGTGTGAACTTGTTATAATGTAAACAAAAGAAATCCATTATAAACTTTGAATACATTATTTTATTTTAAAAGGTTATAGCAAAATGTTTTTCTACTATCAAATTGTCCCTTAAAGATTATAGTTAAACTGCCAACTTATTTTGACTATATATTCAATATTTAAACATTCTTTCATTTGAAAAAAAATATAATATATGTTTTCTAAGCATACAAATTTCTACAAATTTTCATATAATTTCATGTTATCACACGTGGGCACACACGCACGCAATAACCTCGGCCAAAATACTGAAGTATGAGGTGCTGCCTTCTCTGATTCAATGGATGGTTCAGTTTTGGAATTCAATGGTTTAAATATATACTTATCCACTCTTCACTCACATCTGTAATTCTATGTATTCACTTGTTTAAATTTATACACTATGTACTCTTCATGGTAGCATCTTAAATTTGTATTACCTTTTTTGTGTAGGGACATCCTCCCAAACAATTTAAGATCGTGATTCCCAAAATTCCAGCTTATTTTACGGTATGAATACTCCGTGAATGCTTCTGTTGATTTATGGTTTGACTTTTGGAGCCAAACATGAATAAAATTCAGATTAAGTCTTGAACCAAGCAATAATTGGGATTTTTAAGATATATGGATTATCTCACATGCATCTGTCTATTTATTTCCCTAAATAGGTCAGAGCTCTATAGACTCCTACTCATTAGTGTGTTTAATCCTAATTAAACACTTTTTCCTAGTTTTCTTTGCACAAAATACAAGGATAACAAAGTTTTCCTTAACCTCATATTTCCATCTGAACTAGAGAGTACTGCATTTCATTCCAGCTTATACACTTCTCCTTGGGGAAAAAAGAGAGAATGGTCTTCACCTTCACCACTTAACCTCTTTGCAAACTAGCTACCAAACCTTTTATACACACTGTCCATCCGTAGCCTTGTTTCATTGTTGTAATGGTTCCAAACTCAAATTCAAGCACAGCCATGCAGTGCCACCAACTAAAAGCTACATACTGCTTTAATTGCTATCTATCTATTCCACCAGGTGCTATATAGGCAGTAAGAAGTTTATTGAACTTGTTATCCATACAATAAAAAGAAAGTTCGAAATTCCATCCAAGAAATTCTCAAATCAACAAAATTGACTTATAAATTTATTCGATAAAGTTCTGTAATCCTATTCTTCTTGGAACTGCCTTCAAATCGTCAGTAACTGCAGCTTTGATTATTTTTTATGTTTTTATGCTTGTAGGGAACAGGAGATCTCACGACTGCCCTTCTTCTTGGTTGGAGCAATGTAATGTCATTGCTTAATTGGCTATGGTTTATAGTCTTCTTCTTTTTTTTTTTGTAAATTTATAGTCTTCTTTGTAATTGCATAATATTAACCAAAAATATGTCTTTATTCATTCCAGAAATATCCGGACAACCTTGAGAAGGCTGCAGAACTTGCAGTATCAAGCTTGCAGGTAGCTGTTTTTATGCGTGCCATCAATTCTTTTCTTTTCTTCCTCCTCTTAAAGTTGCGGAAGTATTGGTCAAGATATGGAAAGCCTTCTATCATATGATTATATATTTAACTGATTCTTATTATCTTGCTAGTAATGCGAGTACATTAATTGTGATATTTCAAAATATTGGCATTCATTTTGATGAATGAACCTGTTTTCAAATAATGGATGATTAATGGTGCAATAATCACAATATGTGCAGGCACTTTTGCAAAGAACACTTAATGACTACAAAAGGGCTGGACATGATCCCCAGTCAACCAGTTTAGAGATCAGATTAATTCAAAGCCAGGAAGATATTCGCAATCCACAAGTCAAATTTAAAGCTGAAATGTACAGCTAAATCCATCATATGATTTGGACGTGAATGCCTATTGTATTCAAACTTTGAGAGGGGGTGTTAAGAAAATATGAACATTAAGAAGAAAAGTGGATTCTTCACCCATTTATTGATTAAATATAGAAAATGGAGTTATGATATTGAATTATAGCACTGCAAGCATTTTAAAAGTCAACTTCAATTTTTATTAGAACGACATATAACAGAGTTACACAGATACATATTGTGTTTGGTAATAAGTAAAATAAGGAATATCAACTCTGAATTTATTTTTAGTATCTTGTTCTCTTAATAGTTTCATATCTATCATTTATGACCCAATATTTTTTATTATAGTTGAGAGGATAAAAGAAGTATTCTAATCAGGCATGCATTGGTGGGACGCATGCATTGGTTTATGAGGAGGGATATTCTAACTATCATCATTAGATAACATTTTCTCTCTCTTCAAATTTTTTTTAACATTCTCTCTCTTTGCTCCAAGGGTGATGTGATGGATAGTAAGTTAGTAGTGAGAGTTTTTGATAGTTAGAATATCTTCACTCTTGGTTTGGTAGATGGATAGTAAGTTAGTAGTGAGAATTTTTAACATTTTCTTCCCTAATTTTTAAGGCCAGGCAAACCCGGCAGACACATGACGTTTAATTGCTAAAAATGCTATCCAAAATTGTTTTCCTTCTCCATAATAAAACCTTGGGGCCTAATTGTGCATCTCTTTTAAGCGTTAAAAGTCGGTCAAAATAATTTCTTAGTGTAAACTCATTTGTTTTGGTGAGAACTGAGAAGCAGGAGAAAAGTCATGACAATATTTTCTTTTCTAATTTAATATTTTTAATTATACTATTTTGGCAAGCTAGGAAAAGTTCAGCTTTTACACAATCACGCCTTGATACATCTTTTAATGTTCCTTCGAAACTGACAAGCAATTAGCAGTATGATGGTTTCAGGCTCTAAATTGAAGTTAATATGCTTTTTTAGAGTGATTTTTTTTAAATTTAAAATTTAAATAAAAAATACTAAGTTGTATATTTCTCTCTTTTAAAATGACACAACTACATGACAAATATTTTCCCCTTATAACAAATAATAAAAACATGTCTCATTATAATCTCTCGTTTTGTGTTTAGTTGCACCGAGTGGGTGTAGTTGCTAAAGTATAGATGATGCGGAGTATATCAATTTCAGACAAAATATACGCTATTGTATCTTTTAATTGTTAGCATAATTAGTTGAAAACCCTTGATAAAATACATATGGAACTCTTGCTTGTGGAAGAAGCTAAGTTTGAGGTTGTGGGAGAGGGGGCACAGAAGGCAAAGTAAAATTTTAGGGAAAAAAACAATGAGGAAAAAAAATTAGTGCCTGGATTCAAAGATGTAGCTTGTATGCATTGTACATTGAAATTCTTTAAGCTCATTTCCTCTTCACGATGATACTCATGCGCCTTTCATACTTTTTCTATAGCCTACTACAACATCCAGCTCTGATCATATTGCATTATGTTGAGTCCATCAATATAATCGTGCTCTCTAATTTTTATGTGTTATTTGGTATGATTGAATGGAAAAGAAATATATTAATGATAATAAATGATAATAATAAACACATCCTAGTCAATGAAAAAAGAAGTTAAATTTTCCTTCTTTTGTTTGATTTTATCAGAGAAAAAAAAATGGAATTACGTATTCATGTCAAACACGTCCTATGATGCACGGACACGGGACACGACACGACACGTCGACACGTTAAACCTAAAAAATGTCATATTTCAACACGTTGGGACACGTTTTGATATTAAATAAATTTTTTAATATATATAATATAATTTATATTTAATACATATAAGAGTCCATAATAAGTTATATAATCAATCAAATATTTAAATTTCATAACATAAATATAAATATAAGTAATTTTTCGTATTTTGTTAATTTTTAATGTCAAATTTCATAACAGAAAAAAATTAATTTATAAATTATTTCTTTTATATTTAGTTAACAAAATAAAATTAAGATTTAAAAAAAAAAAAAAAACGCGTCCGAGCATATCCTAGCGTGTCCCCAAATATTGACAGCGTGTCTGAACGTGTCGGAGAGTTGACCACGTGTTTCCAAATGTTAACCGCGTGTCCGTGCCAGACACGTGTCCTACACGCGTGCCCGTGCATACGAGAACACGTCTTTCCTCCCAATGATTCTTTACCTTTTTATGGCTTTTATGAAATAATCCAAATCATTAGGTCGTTTTCTTTTTGGGAAATCAAATTATCTCATGCAACACACAAAAAAGTGGATAAAATCCATTTTTTTTCTTTCTCTGTCTTCTTCAAAGTGGGTCCTACTCACTTTTTTGTGTGTTGCATGAGATAAATTATCTCATGCAACATGAGAAAAATCAAACCCTTTCTTTTTTTCACTTTTATTTATTACGAAATATACGCTAATGAAGTAATCTAGAGTAAATTATTTGTTACGTAAGTTCATGCATAACATTCAGATAATACTTTAATGATAAAAATTAGATAATTCGGATAAAATTTTAAAACTAAAGCTCGTGAAATTTAGTGTAAAATTCTTGTATGTTAGAAAAAAGTTTCTTGTTCAATTATGAATATTATTATAACTATCTACAGAAATTGTGTGACGCTGTTCAATTCTATCAGTTGGACGATGCTCATTCCTACGAATTAGTATATAGAGTTTAACTTTGAAATAAATTTAATTTTTACTTATAAATATTTGGCTTTAATGTTTCTATAGTAAATGCAGATGAGTTCTCTATATTCACTCCCAAAACGACATCGATTTGGGTTAAAAAATTTAAAAATTATAATGAAAAGACTATTATAACCCTGAAATAAATTATAATTATAAAAATATTTTGATTTATATCTCAAAAAAATGTCGTTTTACGCTCAATGTAAATATTTCTAAATTATCTACATTGAAGCGAGCCCTACCCACTTTTTTTGTGAAATTCATATTTATTTATTTTCTTTTTTCTCATTATATGAATTTATATAAGCTCCACACACTTTTAAGTGTATAAGAAATTAAATTTATCTACTAAGTGAGAAGCATTAAACCTAGTGGCGGACCCAGGAACAAAGTTTTATGTCCGCACATTTAGTGGTGGGGGTTCGGGAGCAGTGCCCCCAAATTTTTTTTTTGTAAAGACAGTTTAGATTAACGCTTTAGTTGCTTCCATAAGAAGCTGCAGGCAATAGTTTGACTAATCATTCCTCCTTAAATCTTACCAATCTTCCAAAACAGATATTAGAATATACTCCAGTACATCCATATATCATCAATTTATTTTATAATGGTGAATAAAAAAGTCAACACTACATGTACAGAAGGCAAGCGAAATCACAGTGAAAGCCTCGTCTCTAGAGATTAACTTATTTGAGAATGTCAGACCTGCAATCAATCATCTTTTTTTAGAAAAATGAAGAAAGAAACAAAGGATGAGGAGAGCATGAGAATGGGTACGTGACAAGAGAGGAAGAATAAGTTTTCTCTCTAATCAATTTGCATTGCTGCGTTATTTTAATCATTTATGTACGTTGCTAACTAATATAAGAGTAAATACTCTTTTTGATCCCTAACAAAAAATTCAGTCCCCACTTTAGTCCTTTACAAAAAAAAATTAGTGACCTGGTACCTATGAAATTCAAAGTGGACACATTTTAGTCCTTTTGAGCAACTAATGTGGGTCTTTTTTGAATTTGTGAGGGATCACGATTTTAACTAAATTGATTCACTTTGAATTTCTTAGAAACCTCGAGACTACTTTTTTTTACAAGAGACTAAAGTGGGGATTGTATTTTTTATTGAGGATTTAAAAGAGTATCTACTCCTAATATAACTATTGAATCAAGAGAAATAAGAACAACCTGCAAAAAAAAAAAAAAAAAAAAACCTTAAAATCTTATGTCCGCACTTGCGAACATATGTAACAACCTAGGTCCGCCTCTGATTAAACCCATCTTTTTTAATTATATTCTATATTTTTTTTGGGACAATATTTTTTTTGTATTTCAAATACATTTTAATTTTAATAAAATGCTATCAACATTTTGGAGTTACATTTTCTCATGCAACATGAAAGAAGCTTTTTTCCTACACATACAATCAAGTGGACCCATTAGTTTAAAAAAATATTAACACAAAAATCGAGCCCTTGCTAACATGAGATGAACTTTCTTCCTAACACATATGATTTATTTATCCCCAACATTTTTTATTAATAAATAAATCCTCGGACTAAGATTTCACTCAATCGTAAAATGTGTCTTGGAAAAGAAAATTGTAGAAGAGTAGTATAGATTATAGAAGCTCTGTAACATTCTCGTTTCGGATTTGTACAAGAGTTGTCAACCGTAGTTTGCAGCACTGCACTCTTGTTTTATTGCCACTATCACAGAACCCTGAACCTTCAGAGCTTCAAATTGCTACTGTTTCTTTTTTCTTTTTTAATATATGGATCCTCAAACAGCGTTAGAGCTTGTCAAGCACGGTGTCACTCTTCTCTTCCTCGATGTTCCTCAGTACACCCTAGTCGCCATCGATACTCAGGTTAACAATTTTCCTTCTTTTTTTTTTTGAAAAAAAAATGGAAAAACATCAACTTAAAATTTCGAACTTTATAGAATAATAAAAATCCCTTGTCATGTGATAAATTGTAGATTAACAAAAGGACATAATGCAATTGATTGGGAAGTTTTAAGTTTTAAATGTAGAGGTTATGACCATGCCCTTTTATTATTCTTGTGGATTATCAAGTTGTTGTTGTTTTTTTTTTAATTTTTACTTTCTTGGTATCTGAAAATTGAGTGAAACTCTGAATTTCGTAGGGTAAACAAATTCTATCTTTGTTGATACTGTCAAGTTCGTTTGATATTATTTTTCTTGTGTGTATGTGTGTGTGTATTTGTCTGCAGATGTTCTCTGTGGGACCTGCTTTTAAGGGTATTAAGATGATTCCTCCTGGCACTCATTTTGTGTACTATAGTTCGTCAAGCAGGTTTGATCATGCTTCCTAATTCTTCCCCACACTCCCTTCTCTTCTATGTAGTTCTTCTTATTCCTTTATTCATGCAATGTACACAAGAGTGTTTTTAACACTACTCTCAGTTGTCACCAAAACCCATTCCTCTTATCAATATATGTTGATGCCTTTAATTAGATAAAAAGACAAATAGGCAGATAAGAATTATGGGTGTGTTTGTGTATGAAGAGGGAATGCTTTCCTAAGAGTTTCTCTTTCTGTTAGTATTAGTGTCTTTTCAATCTTGCATACCATGGCATTGTATGATTTTTGGGAAATAAACTTGTACTAATTGAATATAGAAGTTTTGTTATGTTCTTCTTGGTTCTACCTCTTCTAGTGGAACCAAGATGTGTCACTTTTTTAACCTCATGTCATGTTCTGTTCTATTTTTGAAATACCGAACATAGAATAGAACCATGTCTACCAAATGCATTTTATGTTTCTGATGATAAAATTTTAAGCATGGGATATCACTGTTGATATTATTGCTAGAATTAATGATATTTCTTTCCCATAATGTATTTTTTTCAATTGTTTACCCTTTTTTCATTTTAGATTTTTTTTTGCTTCATGCAGAGATGGAAAGGAGTTTTCACCAATTATTGGATTCTTTATTGATGTTGGTCCTTCAGAGGTCTGAAAATCAGTAATTCAATATCTCTCAATCGTCCAATTAAATTTACATAAATTTTGATTCATTGAGCTTTGATTAAATCATTTTCTAGTTCAGAAATCATGACAGGCACTATATGTTAATGTTATAATTATTATTTTCACATATTATTTGATAACAGAATCACGGTTGATTGAGATGCGGTGGGTCAGGTGTAAGCTTGGCTCTTCGGAGTTTGCTTTAGAATGTGTCTATTGGAATCTTTGTTTATATTGATCTTTCACTATGGTTTCTTGATAGATTCTCAGGTGAATCAATTCATGCGATTTTGTTTCTGTATTAGCCTAATGGAAGAAAACTGAGATTTAAAAAAAAGATTTAATTTTGAATATCAGTCTTAAGACAGTAGTTTGGAAAGAAGGCAAAGTGACTAAAGCATTTCCTGTTAATAGAGCTAGAAGTCATCCTGTGACTATTTCCTTGCCAAATTATGGTGAAATTAAAACTAGAACTCATGTAGTTATTGTCTTTACGTTTGAATTTTTTGTCTTACTCTTACTATAATCCTGTCTTTCAATTTTTTCTGGTGCAACTGCACTTTAACTATCTTAATGATAATTTGAACGACACCAGAAATGGATTGGTTAAAGTTAACCAATGCTCATCTGTTTGAACCTTTTTGTGGTCTGAACATCTTTAAAAAATGTAAATGTATTTAATAATACTTTGTATGCCAAATAATATAAAAAATGTGAAACAGTGATTATCTGTTTTGGTCTCATGGCCATGCAGGTAATTGTTCGTAAATGGGATCAACAAGATGAAAGGCTAGTAAAAGTATCTGAGGAAGAGGTATGTGTTCATTTAATTTTTATAAATGTATATAATACACTTTGTTCTTATTTTTATGCAATGTAATTTAAGTTTATTGGTTTTGTCCCTGTCTGTTAGTGTTTGGTTTCGTTAAAGATTATGGATATCATCCTACTACCACTTGGAAGTTAAGGATACTGACATCTGTGGACCCATTATGATTTCAATTTGAACTTCTTTATTTTTCCATCATCCTTTCTCTGCTTGGAATTGTTTTCTTTTATAATTTCTCTCTCTCTCTTTTGGATTTCAGAATTGCCCTCTATTTTCGTATGTGCTTCAGTCATTAGAAAATATATCTGGAGCTAAATAAGAAACTTTGGCTCAAATGATAATGCTTTTAAGTCTATATACTGAATTCTATGCTCTTCAACTATGGTATTTATTATTTATTTTTTCTCTGCTTTTCCTTTAGGAAGAAAGATATAGTCTAGCTGTAAAAAATTTGGAATTTGACAGACTACTTGGGCCTTACAATCTTAGCTATTATGAAGATTGGAAGCGATTATCTAATTTTATCACAAAGAGCGTCATCGAAAGGCTTGGTATGTTATTTGCTTGCTCGACTGAGGTATTCTTTTTATTAAATAGTTCGATGATATTATATTAATTTGTTAATTTATGAGCAGAGCCTGTTGGAGGGGAAATTACTGTTGAATGCGAAAATGAGATGGTTAGAAACATTCCTAAAATGCCAATGGAGAAAGCACTAGATGAGCAGCTGAAGGTTGGTAAATCTGCTTCATCTGTTGTCAAGTCTCAGAGGAAAGGATGTTATTATACCTCCATTCCACGTGTTGTAAAATGCAAGGGAATTAGTGGACAGGAACTTACTTCTTTGAATCTTGACAAGGTAGGCATACACATACTATTGAATATTTGATTCCAGATAAGTAATTGTGAGAAAAAGTTGCTGTAATCAGTAATCTTACCTTAAAATTTTAGCCTGTTGTTGTTTGATGATTGTTGCACGTGTTTTTTTGTTGGCATTCTCAGACACAGTTGTTAGAAAATCTACTGGCAAAAGATTATGGAGGTTCTGAAGACTTGCTTCTTGGAGAATTGCAGTTTTCATTTATCGCCTTTTTGGTATTGTGAACTAAACATGATATCTTTATAATTTGTTTATCTTATTAAATCCAGTATGACATTTTGCAATGATGCAGATGGGTCAATCGCTAGAAGCATTTTTCCAGTGGAAGTCCTTAGTTAGCCTTTTGCTTGGCTGCACTAAAGCAGTAAGTATAACTTTTCAGTCATATCCAGATTGCTGATTGAATAATGCAGAATTTTTGCATGGACTTTAGAGTTTCTGGTTTCTTTTTGTATACTTGTTTGCTTTTCCACCACACGAAGTACAGATATTGAACTGCTGATACTAAAAATTTTCAGATTTTAAAATATTGCTTGTTCATCAAAATTTTCAAAGCTATCTGAGATATCTATATATAATATTAATTATTAAACACAACAGTTACATGAGTTACCATTAGGATTTTCATAATTGGCTATTCAATTGACCTAGTAAAAGTGATATATATGAGCCATTGATATTCATTTTTTATAATTATTAAAACCATCCTTGGGCTCTTGATTAAACAGAGCTTTAAGTCAAGTGGTTGTGTGACATGTGCCTACAGTTCATTATTTTTCTAATTTCAATGGTTACTTGGATTTTCATGCGTGATTCGTTAGATGCTTGTTTGGTCTTTCAACTTGGGTGGGTCAGTTTGTTTATTTCTTTCTTAGGTCATTTTATGGTTGTAGGGCCTAGTTTATGACCACATGTGGATACAAGACACTTATTGATTATGGTAAGATGTCTAGAATGGCTGTATGGGATTACTTAGGTCCAAATCAGCTTATAGTTGTGCTGTTTCATAAATATATATTTATTATTATATTTGCATGACTTTGTTATCTTTTGCAGCCTTTCCATACACGAACTCAACTATTCACGAAGGTAAACTTAATTACTGTATTTATTTTTTTGTTTCTTTTTGGTACAAAACGGTGACATTATTACTTGGAATGCTGTTAAATTCATCCCTCATTGTAGTAGTTCTGACTTCTGAATGTAGTCTTGGAACAGAAAGCAGCTAAATCTGGATTAAGAAAATGAGTCACAATCTTGAATTATATGGCATATTATTCATCAAATCAAACTCCTTTCAATTGTGGAAAATCAGAACTTTCACCTTCACATTATTCGTCAAACTCCTTTCAATTAAGAAAATCTGAAGTATATTACAGTCCAAAAGTTTAGTGTGATAGCAACTTTGCATAACTTAATATTTTCTTCCTTAACTATTTTGTAATATAAGACATTGCTGAAGATTTTGTACATGAATTTGATTGGCTGTTTTCATTGAGCTACGGTAGCTTTTAAGCTTCAAAATATATTTGAGATTTTTTTTTGTTTAATGATTGTCTAGAATACTAGTACCTGCACTTCTGTTTGCTTTCATTTTTCCTCACTGAACTGATATCTGATATTTTATGAACTCGGATAGTTCATAAAAGTCATCTTTTATCAACTAAAATATGGACTACAAAAAGATCGAGCAGATGAAACAGGACCAGTATTGTTGGATGATTCTTGGCTTTCTGCTGAAAGCTTTTTGCACCATCTTTGCAAGGTATTACGCTGATGCTATGAACTCATTATTCAAGTGCACAAATTTGATTTGTTACCTAGCTTTCTTATATTAAGACACTAGATTGGTTCCTGTTCCGATCAGTATAGATTTTAAGATCTGGAAAGACTAAAACTTATAATTTTAGCACCAAAAAGAAATAATGGGCCAATCTTTTTTATGTGGAGGTGAGCAGTTCGTTTCTTCATATATATATATATATATGTGTGTGTGTGGTGTTATTTTTAATGGATAAGTATTGCATCCAAAAGGCCAATATTGTTTAATAAGCAACTTACTCCGGGGGGAAAAAATCAGAAAAAGCTGACAATTTTCATAGAATTGTAAAGCCTTTCAGAATGCAATTTCCTTTCATGACGGAACATCAAATTCACCAGAGACTTTAAGCATACCCATCCTTCTGGCATCCGGATTTCCATGTCCAGAACAACACAATTAATGGATGCTGATGACGAAGATATATATGTTTTGTAAGGTTTTCTTCTACCTTAAGGATCTGTCAGAACTGCCAAAAAATTTAAGAAGATATTTTTGTGCGAACTCTAGCTTCCCAAAAACCTCTCAAGGGTAGCCTGGTCAAAATAAATGGGGCATAAAGAAAACTTCCCATTCTTGTTCAATGACAGTCATCCTCCTTACAAGACAGGTCATATTTTTAGGCTTTTGATTCGTGTGAATTAGTTGCACAAAGTATTTTCTGTTTTTGGCTAATACTAATTAACTCTCGTTTGCATTATAGAAATTGGATATGCTTTGCTGAGTTCTAGTGCAGCTAATGCTTTTTGGTTGTTTTGGAATTGCAGGATTTCTTTTCATTGTTGCAAGATGAGTCAGTTGTTGATGGAGATCTCTTAAAATGGGTATCAACATTGAACCTATGTCTTCACATAATGATGTTATTATTGAATTGATATCTACCCTCCACCTGCCACACAGATAAAATCCCAATAAGGATTTGACTTAAAAGAAAAAGAAACCTAAAAATAGGAGCAAGAATGAAGTGAAATTATTACTCCTCCGAAATTATTTATGGCCCTGTCATGTTTTTAAGCTGAAAATTTGTTACTTTGATATGTATAATTAATTCTATAAACAATCTTTTGTCAACATGTCGGAAGTGAGTACTAATTCTCATCTTTCACCTTAAACACACACTCGGGAGCTTATCATGCAATAGGGTTTAAAGTATTACGCCAAGTCGAATACTTCAATTACGCATAACCATGGTCTATGCTTTTTCTTTGTTTTTTCTGCTATAAAATTTGTTGCAGACTTGCAGCATTTGCTGCTAGCTGCAATGTAGGGACTTGTTATGAAGAGGAAATATTGAATTGTAATCTAGCTTGGCTTACAGATAAGGAAATTTAAGGAGCTGTTGGAGAGTAATCTAGGGTGGGAGTTTCAGCAGAGCAGTGCTGTTGATGGGATGTACTTTGAGGAGAATGATGAGGTCAGCTTGCTGAGTTACTTTGCTCTGTGTGTTTGTGTTCATTGACCTTATTGGATGTTCATTTTGCAGTTTGCTCCAGTAGTTGAGATGTTGGATGATGAAGCTCCATCAGTTTAGAAATGTGGATTATATCATCTCTTGGCTATAACAAGTGTTTCTAGGGAATTAAATCATCAGTATCATGCCACTTTGCATGCCTATGGGTAAACCATTCCTTTCACATTGTACAGTAGAACACATATAAATCAACTTTAGCAAATTTTAGAAACACCGGAATGGAAGATGAATTTACGATACCTCGAATTTCGATTTGTGTTGGTCAAAGGTTGGACCTGAAACAGAATCGAAGTAACTTTTTTTATTTTTTTCTGTGGGAAAGACGTTAAGGTACTTTGATGATGATTGATATTTACAGTGCTGCTTAAATTGTGGTACTTTTTTAGCTCTTCAACTGATTTGGCATGTATGAAAAACTTGTGAATTTAAGATGACATGTTTGAGGAGCTGCTAATTGTGAATTTAAGACCCTGAATCTACATGCCAATCAATATTGGGATGACATCAAACAAGTATTTAGAAAGAAAAATGTTAAATGGTATGATTGAGTCTTTCTGTAACGATTTAGGAGTGACAATAAGTTAAGAAATTATAGCATTTTTTAGTTGTTTATTTAATTTTAATAATTTTTGAATTACAATTAGTTATGAAGTATTCATAATAATAGTTTTAGCAAATAACATTATTTCCTTACAAAAGGCTAAAGAAACATGGTGAGCTAAAACTGAAATTTAGAAACTGGTGGTGATATATGACTCATTACCCATTAAATTGGCAAGCGTGTCAATTCCTCTTGTTTTGACTGTAAAATTGGATAAACCACTTTTAATAACGGGTTAAAAACATTCTCATGTTGTTTTGAGACGGGTTGATGGATTAACAAAAAAATTTAAAATAAAATGAAATAGTTTTGAATATATTCAAGAAATCTGCCATGTTTATTTCTTTACCAATTCAAAGTAAAAGAGGCAATACACTGGCAGGAGATATTATAATTTTATTTTTATTTTTTTTAAATTGAGATATTAGAAGTATTGACAGTTTGACACCATCATTTGCAATAATGGCACCAATTACAAAAAGCTTTTCTAATGCACATTTTGTTCTGTTGTTATGTTGCAACATCAATGATTATTATTTGTGTAAGTTTTGTAACTCATAAACCACCGAATGTTTATTTGCAATATTGTTGTTCATGGTCAAAGAACTACTGAAGCCGTCTTCTTCTCTTTCAAAGCATTTTTCTCTAGGGTTAGTGTTTGGTTGAAGGTTTATTTTGGGATTCATGGAAAAGTGTAAGTGGATATTGAAAAATACCACATTTGGTTCAGGTTTTTTTTTAAAAATACCAGACAAATAGGATAGATGCAAAAATGAATTTTGTGTTGATTTTTGGATGAAATTCACTGTTACAGAATACCACTTGAGATGTGGTATTTTGAGATAACTAGGGAAGTGAAAAAACAGGTGCAAAGTTTCTTCCGAACATAGATTTTGCATATTTAAATAAATTTCCTTGGTAATATATGGGTCAACCAAACAACTTTTTTTACATTTTCCTACCAAACTCACTTTCTAACCATTTCCCTAGTAAAAAAAAAATTCTCCCGAACCAAACACTACCTAAGGGGTCTTTGGTATGTAGAATATGATAGGAATGTAGGAAAACTGAGGTAGGTAACATATAATAACCACGTTTGGCATGTCTTAAGTTAGAAAATATCGGTATATTTTTCGTCTCATGCATTTCGTTTTAAAATGTGCAACGGAAAAAAAAATTGCAATTTAAAGTGTGGTATTTTTTTAATCTGAGTAATGGGCTTTGTGGACAAAAATGCTCAGAAAAAATGTATATCGAGTATAACTTCTGAACAATGACAGAAGTGATAAGAAATTGCATGACTTAGTTTATTTGAGTTTAGATCTAATGTATGTTTGATGAGTGTGATTCCAGTATTTTAACATTATTTCACCATCAATATGGGTAATTTCATAATATCATAACACATTTCCATCAATATTTCACCATCAACAAAACATAGCATTAGTAAAAATAACTCAACATTTCCGACAAATTTTTTGCCTACCAAACACCTTTTTGTAATTTATTCGGGCCAAAAAAATTATCCATCATATTTTGAGAATTTTTTTTCTCAGTAATAAAAAATTTCTCCTATACCAAACACTCTTAATTTCGTAGTGATATTCCATCGTCAGAACAATAATGAACAAAAACAAAGCACTTATCCTGCATTTGTAGTATACTAGAGGTTAGTAATTTTTTTTACCGTATTGTTTGATGTAGTCATGATTCATGAGGTAAATTTTAGTCATTCGTACTGGCTAATGTTTGTATAATTGTATCTTAAATACGTATTTGCCCAAGTCAAGTCTTTCGGGGATTATTGTATTCCATTTGGTTGGAAATGATAACCGAGTGAGATCATTCTTTATGACACATGGGTTTGTAGTGCAATATATTTGCACCGAGTAACTGTACTCGGTGGTATGACAAATAAGAAAAATAAAAAATTGACAACGAAATATATTTTATTGTGAATTCTGCGTTATGTTCCATCTTCTGCACTTAGTCCACATCTTATGCAGCTATCATTATTGACCAGTAAAGCCACGTGTGTTGTATCCTTTTTTCTTCTTCTAAATCTTGTATAATTTGATTATGTCATAGGGGTCTTTAGTATTGCCGGTAAACTTTTACTTAATTAATGGGTTTTCTTTTGAAGAAAAAAAAAAGGTATACTTTTTTTCTTTTTGGTAAACAAAAAAAGGTATACTTTTCTCACACAAAACAGAACACTTTTTGTTTTTGGATACAAAACAGAACACTTTATTTTTTTTATACAAAACAGAACACTTTATGTTCTAAAAAAGGCAAGAGAACTCAAATCCCTAGTTTAAGCAATTCTTCTGAATTTCCAAATGGATCCTGTTTTTATTGGTGTGATCCAGACATCCACCAAATATTTTTCTTGGTGCAGTCTTTATTGTTGTTGAAAAAAAAAAGGAACTAAGCAAAGCATCATAAATTAAAACGCTATGGGATTAGTATAGTTTGTAATGAAAAGTTGTTGACTTATTGCAAATTTATGAGCAAACTTTTGGTACACTTGGTATACCGAACTTGATATGTTCGTTTATTAAAATAGATAAAAAAATTCACTTTAACCCTGATTTTTTTTTATATTCTCCTTTATGTCCCTTTAAATTTTTCCCAATTAACAAATAGATATATCGAGTTCAATACACCCTTACTATTAAAAAATATTTCCCAAATATAGATAGGATTTTAGTGGTGTCATAAATCATGCTTTAGTTTTAAACTTTTGTTTTGGAGTATGACTCTTGGCATTTTGGTTGGGGTCAAATCTTATAAGAGCATTTTGCCCACAATGCGAGGAAAATATTGTGTGTGGTATCAAATCGAGGCAATAAAATTAAAATATTATTATTTTAATAAATAATTATGAATATATAGTTGTTTTGAAATTATTTACGGATCTATTACACTCGTTCATGCTCAAATTATGTGTGACCATTCATGCCTAAATTAGGCGTGACTCCCAAGGCATTCACGCTTAATTTAGGCGTGACTCATCTGGTGTTGACACGTGGCACAAAAAAGTCAACTTATGAACCGTAAAAGTTTGGAAAGCCATAACTTTTAACTCAGGTATCCAAATCAGGTAAAAAAAAATTATTCCACAAAACTTTTCGAGATCTACGCAATGATACCTCATTTGACATATTCTATCTCTCACAAACACAATTCAAATTTACAATAATGATATTATAAGACCGTTTAAACTCAAAAGCCTCCGAGTTTTGGGTTTGTAATTTAATATAAAAAATAAATAAAGATTTGATTTGTGATTTAAATTAAAAAATAATAATTTTTAATATAAAAAATAAACAAAGATTTGGCTTATGATTTAAATTAAAAAATTAAAAAATTATTATTATTAAGGAAAACAAAATAAAGATTTGATTTGTGATTTAAACTCAAAAATTAATTTGAAAAATCTGTACTAATAAAAGAAATAATTAAATAAATATTCTAAATCTCTAAGAAAGAAGGATTTTATTTTTTAGGCGATAAGCTTCCAACGAATCCAGCCATAAAGACTCAGCCATTGTTTTGTATAAGAGACGTTTCCAAACTTTAGAATTCAGAATTCGATCAGAGGATTAGAGCACGTGACTACGAACCACGGTGTCGGGGGTTCGAATCCCTCCTCACCCACAACCAGCCAGGTTTAGTTTTCTTTTCTTATACCCATTAGTATGACTTTAAAGAAAAAAGTCATAAAAAAGAAGGATGTAACTTACAATACGGTTCGATAAAATGGCTTTATAGTACCCTTGTTGTAAATTTGAATTGTATTTGTGAGAGATAAAATATATCAAATGAAATATCATTGCGTAGATCTCGAAAATTTATGTCGAATCAAAAAAAGAATTATCTGATTCGAATACCCGAGTAAAAAATTATGGCCTTATGAAGTTTTACGGTTAAATTGTTAACTTTTTGTGCCACGTGTCAACACCAGACGAGTTACGTCTAATTTAGGCGTGAATTCCTTGGGAGTCACGCCTAACTTAGGCGTGAATAGTCACGTCCAATTTGAACGTGATTTAGTGCAATATATTCGTAATTAGGTTCAAAACTGTAACTTATTAATAATTATTTATTAAAAAAAACAATATTTTAATTTCTTTTTTGCCATCAAATCGAGCATACGCGAATATTGTTGATTTTTATTTTTTATTTTTATCTTGTAGAAATCAAATGTATGCTTTCTTTACATAAATATACTTCTACAATTTGATATGGATTTTTTAATGAAAAAGTCTAGGGAAGGAAAGGCGATATATATTCCAAAGAAAAATCACCGGTAAGAAAAGTCAAAGCATCTTTATCAAGGAAATTAATCGTAGTTGATTTTTGTCAATCTTTTAATCATCGTTGATTTCTGTCAATTTTTCGATCATTGTTCATTAGTTTCATACACTTTGACTTGGGAAAATTTTTATGACACTTGACTTGAAAATTAATAACATTTATTTTGTCACATTTATTAATTAATTATTTATTCACAATGAATTATAATTGTTAGATTGACAGAAATCAACGGTGATTAAATTGGTTGTAAGAGTGATAATCTTTTCTGGTGGTAAGTATATATTGCCCCTCTTTATTAATACATAAAAATATTTTTACAGTTAATGCAGATAAGTTATCTGTATTTACTTCCAAAACGACGTCGTTTTGGGATTGAAATATTAAAAAATTATAATTATAAAGACTATAATAATTCTGAAATAAATTAAAATTACAAAAATACTATAAT